TACCGTAAGTTACCATTGTGTTTTGTTTCTATGCTGGTGTGTATTTAAAGTCTCCCACTGTATACGGTAAAATTCGATTAAAAAAACGAATAATCAGGGATATCTTTCAAATGAGTTCTCTTTCTCTCCTTTGTTCGTTATTTCAAATTAAGATAATCATAGATGCACTGGGAAGGCTTTTGACCGTTTTTTTCTTCTAATAGACGCACAAGAACGTTTAAATATTTTCATCCTCGACAAAAATAGATAAAGAAGAAATAAAAATGGCTTTCTTTCAAGGCCTAATTGTTTCAGCCACATTGCGACTGTTTCTTTTATTTCTTTGACAAAATGTGACGTCGAACTATGGGTTTTTTCGGGGATAAGAACCATCTATTGATACTAAAACGAAAAACTGGTGTTCATTCACCGAATAGCCGCGAGATGGTATCTTTTGTTCACAAAGTAAAGATCAAAGCTATGATGTATTACTTTTCCGAATGGTAAAGTGGCACCCTTAATTTTCACACTTGTGCAATGACATTATAGGGAGTTGAATTAAGGAATAAAGTTGAGAAAGATCGATTTCCTTTACAGTAGTTTTTGCACAAAAAATCTAAGGTGGAGCAAAAGTTTTCTCTGATGTACATTGTAGTTCAACAAACAATGACATCCACAAAGATTAAAGTTCATTTCAAACAAACCGGTGAAATTATAGATGTACCAGTGGAATCAGGATCAATTAGGACAATAAAAGATATTATTTACCATGTTTGTGAATACAGTACACTCTGTGCAAAGATTAAGCACGATGACTATTATCTCATTTTGTTAAACAATTCTGAGATGCTGGATGTCAACAAGACAATGGAGGAAGCCGAGATTCTTACAATAGAAAATCCTCAATTTCAGTTGTGCCTGAAAACTGCAATAAGTGAGCAAATAATGGCTCTTGCTTGCCGAAATCGATTCGCAAGTCAACCAGGACGGACAGTGAAACCACAAACACCGGCTGATGTTACTCGATCACCAGTAATTAAAAAGAATAGTGAGAAGGTAAATGTCAACAAAGTTTGAAGCCTCACCTTATTGATTGTGCTCGTTTAAGCATCTTATATCTATCTATAGCGTTGAAAACATTTGATTTTTTTGTTTCAAGCCGTTAACCCCTACTTCCAAAGATAATTTCTCAAATAAACCACAATCAAATATACATGCAAGAAAACCAGACATCGTAACAGGGTTAGCATCAGTAGTGCTTCCGAGGCCTACCGGTGAACCTAAAGCCAGTGCAATGGGACAATCGCCACTAGACAGTGTACCTACTAGTCAATCTGAAATATTCTCCACCACTTCTTTGTTCGAAGATAAATCACATATCACAAATGAGAACTTGAAATTCTCCGATAAAACTCCAAAATCTATTTCAACAGATGCGAACTTACAATCGAATATTTCAAATCCACGTCTGGTATCTTCTCCACGTGTGCAACCTACACAACCAACAGTACCTTTCCGTGTACCCAAAACAGTACCAAGTGACCATATTCAAAATTCATCGCTTGCAAACTCGTTAGCTAACACGTACCAACATGTAAAATCTCACATCGTAGACGTTAGTGAGGCTCTCACTCGTGACCCTGTTATACGTCGAGATGTTTCTACAATGTTCAACGAATTCAATATTATCTTGTGTGGTTCACCGCGAGTTGGAAAGAGTACTCTGATCAATGCCATATGCCAAAAGCAATTGGCTAAAACAAGTGCCGGACTTGATGCCTGCACGAAAATAATCTCTCGTTATGTTCTTACAGGTAGCCACGAAATTGACTCTGAAATAATCAACTATCAATACAACTTTTGGGATACCCCAGGGTTCGAAAGTTGGAGTAAAAAGGACATTCGGGAAAATTTAGAAGCAATTTTAAAAAAACCAAAATCAGATATACTGTGCATGATTTATAGTGCGTCACCGGGTAGTCACGCAAAACTTGAACAGCTAGACTGGCTACTACATGAATGTATGGAGAAACAAATATTTTGTGCTCTTGTGTGTACGAACAAATGGGGTGGACAGAAAGAACAACGAGACGCTGTTATGCACGATTTTCAAACGCTACTGGCAAAATACCACCCTGAAACTCGAAAAGAAAATGGTGTTATCTACTTTGGTAATATGGGACTGTGCACAACGGTAAATAGCCAGAAATTTGAAGATGAAGATGCAGGCAAAAGTTTCGAGCAATCCGGTGTTGATGAACTCATTTTTGGTATTATGGAATCGCTCGACGACGAAAAAGTTATACAGTGGTGTATGGTAGTGTTTGAGAACAAATCTTTCTGGAAGAATGCATTTAATTTTCCGGAAAAACTGAAAGCATCGTGGAATAAAATAGTACACCGAGCAAGAACAACGGAAGGTCAGGAAAACGGGCACACAATTGGGTACAAGTCAAATGAAAATGAAACTATCCAACAAACAAACGAATCGATATCGCCACTTAAGAGATTCACTTGTTCATGAACCATCAATTGCGATTGTTCTTCAACAGAAAGAAATGGAACAACATGATAATCTATATAAAGAATTTGAACCAAAATATTATCAGCCTGACTACTGTAAAGAATGTTCTAAACACGAAAGTGTTCATTATAAATCAAAAGACCCAATTCTGACACAAAAAGAATCAATTTAAAAGACAAATACACATACAATGAATGTAGTATACGAAGCAAATCAACAAACGAGCAGAAGCTCACTTGGAAGTGTTTGTGGTCGAATAAGTTCAAGTGCTCAGCAAGGAAGTTGCAAGCAGCCACTAGGACTATCAAACATTGTGGAATCACGTCCAGGCCTAGATTTAAACAAGTCGGAAAGACCCACCAAAGTCACGGTAGGGAAACCAAGCGGTCTTGAGAAAAAATCTAATAGTGTCCGTATACCAGTGGGTAACCATCACTTTAATCAACTATGCGAGGCTCTTGGGAAAGTAAAGCGCAGTGGAAGACTTTCAGGAACTTCTGACAAAAAGTATATCGCCAATGGTCATTTTTCCGAGTGCTTCAAAAGACTGCTTCTTTGAAAGATATAAGGTGCCTGCAGCGCAAAATCCAAGTAAAACATTTTTTTTCACACTTTTTTTACATCATTTGATAGAGCGTGAGCTGTTGATCATGAAAATCTACTTTTTAGTCTTAGCAAATGCTTCCTTCCAGTCGAAAAATACGAAAACCTCGAAAGGTGTCGTTTTTCGAGAAAAACACATCTTTTTCGAAATGTGCAAAATTTCTACTTTATTTGTTTTTTCCGGTTATAAAAATATTTTTCCAGATTCAGCATCAAAAACTGAATACAGACAAGTTGTTAGATCGACTCCAGATCCAAAACTCTATTGGTGGTGGCGCTTCGAATCGCGTCGAATCCACTACGTATAGGTCGATTTTGTAAACTTATCTAGTTTTTCTACGTGAGTGATGGAGTCAAATATTTTATCTCATTCTATTCATCATACCACCCCTCATCATGCTACAGATCATTTTTTTTCTTTCCTTTCCTGTGTTGAGAAAAATCGCTTTTACTGATACGATAGCCATTTTAGGTGGTATTCAACGGTTTTCGAATTCAATTTCGCACAAAAACTGAGTCGAATGAGGTGTCTTTCAAATTAATTTGACAACTTTCATTTTTTCTCGTTTTTTGAGGTATCGTCGGAGATCTCAATTTGTTGTATACGGGTCAAAAAAAGAAAGTTGTCAAATTAATTTGAAAGACATTCGACTCAGTTTTTGTGCTGATTCAAAATCTATATTTACTTTATGAGTAAAAGTCTTATTTGAATTCGAAAACCGTTGAATACCGTTGAAGTTTGAATTGCCTGCACCTTAAGACTTGAGGCTTTGAGAATGTAAATAGCTCGGCTAGATAAAGAATTTTTTTTTCTTAGTTCTATTTTGAAATATGGAGCTTTCGATTACCACTGTAATCAATCATCATCAGCTATACAAGTATATGAACAATAGGCAGACAGTATATATTAGTTCGTCCAGATTTTCTTTTCATCGGAGGTAACAGATACTTCTATTACTAATTCTATTACTATGTACACTGCAATGATCGCATCTCTTACATTTCTCTCCCTTCGCAGTGCTTATAGTAACAGAAATACCTATTATTTCCGATGAATTTAGAAAGGAAAATCCGGATGAACTAATATATATTGTGTGCCTATTGTTCATATACTTGTATAGCTGATAATGATTATAGTAGTAATCGAAAGCTCTACATTTTAAAATAATGATTCTTGAACTCTTACAATTAATTTATTCATTTGCTTTCTTAGCGATTATCACTGCCAGCGTCTGCTTCTTCACAAACACTTTCAACATCACAATCGATTAACAATAATGATACCGAAACAGAAGATAAAATTCGAAGATTATTTTATGATGCAGACGTTAATCATGATGGTTATGTCGACGAACACGAATTTCTTAATTTAATGCAAAAATTGGGTATATCTGAAGAAAGTGCACGATGTGAATTTGATAAAATAATCAAAAAAGATGAAGCACGATTAACTATTGATGAATTTTATCACTTTCTGTTATCAAGAATCACCGATAAATCAAAGTTAGATTCAAATTTAGACAACAAACAAAACGATGCACATCGTGTAGAGGAGTTTAAATGTACGCTTGAACGACAAATATCAGAGAAATTAGAAAATAATGAAGAGTTTTCAATCCGAATGCGAATTATATTGGAAAATATTGATGGTAATAAAATATCTGAATATTTAGCACAACGTTGGATCAACTTCAATAATTTTCGAAGACTTGGTAAAAGTGGTAGTTTGGTTCTGACAGGTGAGTGAATATAAATCTCTGCTGAATTTTGCCAAGAAGTTTGTTTTTCCCAGCACCTGAAAATGGTGCTTTACTAAACGTGTACGAGCTCCATTTTTGAAGTAAACGTAAATCTGTTCAGTTCTCATACGAACGTTGCAGTTAATGGTTCGCTTACGAAAGCCCTAACTAGCTTTTTTAAATAACATCAGTACTGGTCTTTCTTGTTTAAGGTTTCATAATACATTTAAGGGTATCCCCCCCCTCTTTTTTGACTCTCCTGGAAACCGGGGACGCCGATATCGGATCGGGGTGAAATTTATAACAGAGATGGAACATCGAAAAAGAAAATCGATGTATTTTTGCACAGAATTTTGTGACATGTTCTTCTATGGGTGTTCTAGAAAACTCTGGTTTTTATCCAGTCACATTACGACTCCCCCGAAAAAATGGTCCGATCGGACTCAAAATTTTACTACAGATACTTCAAACCCTATCTCAGGTTGGTTTTTTTTCTTTTCAAAAAATATGCTTGCCTTCTTCAGATATCGCAAAAATGCTGAAAGTCACGCAAAAACCTGAGATAGTGTTTGAAGTATCTGTGGTAAAATTTTGAGCTCGATCGGATCATTTTTTCGAGGAGTCGTAATGTGACTGGATGAAAACCAGAGTTTTCTAGAACACCCATAGAAGAACATGTCACGAAATTCTGTGCAAAAATACATCGATTTTCTTTTTCGATGTTCCATCTCTGTTATAAATTTAACCCCGATCCGACATCGGCGTCTCCGGTTTCCAAGAGAGTCAAAAAAGAGGAAGGGATACCCTTAACAACGAAAGGCTTTAGAGCGTGCTTGAGAAAGAGCAAAACGGGTGTCCAGAACCTGGAGAGACTAGAATTAGCAACCTTAGCTTTTGCAAATGTACTTTCTAACAATTCAACCGTCATGTGCTTACATAAAAGTTATAGCCATGCTTGAATGTTGCTCTTGTGTTCTCCAAAACAAGATAAAAGGATCCTTTTCAGTTGTAGGCAAGTCTCAGCTTTTTAAGTCGAAATCAAATTCAACTCTGAAATAGTGATGCTACTGGCAGTAATTATGACAGTTTTCGTTCATTGTTGTATTAGACAGATTAATTATTTAGTACTTGGTTAATTAGTAGAAACAAAGCGAGACTATTAAGCTGCATAGCCTGCACGTATGAGTAACTAGGCGAGGATTAGACAGAGTCAAACAGGTCAGAGTGCAAAAAATTTGACATGTCCACCGTGATTCTAATAAGTAAAAGCTTTTATTATGCTTTACTAAGCAGACGAGGCTGGTATCTAGAAGCACTCTCAGAAGGGTTGCAAACATAAGAGCAGGCAGCACACCAAAATTGGGAAAAGGCGTCATGAGTTACGAAGATCAAAGTTAAAGAAGTCCACATTATGGCTTTTTGCCAACGTATTCCCTGGCATATAAAACACACTTGTTAGATTAGACGTTAATGCTCTAAATGACTCGTAATTCTGCTAACGCAATGTGATCGCGTTACGATCTTTTGTCTTTGATCTGTCTTATAGTTTTCAAACAAAACACTTCAGAAACAACTGAATATGTTTCGTTCGGAAACTGTACGAGAGATAAAATACAAAAATCATAACAGAAAAGCATTGCGTTAGAAGAGTTTGGTCGGAAACCGTATTATTGAGTTTTCCAACTAGATTGTCTTGTAGACTTACCCTTTACTTTCCACATAGGAAGTAGATTCACAAAAATCCGAAAATGCGATTGCAGCCAAGTACCTAGGTCTGATTTAGTTAAGAATAATCCATCATTCATTCGAATTTT